AACAATTTTGATATATACAGTGAACACGTGCCTGGGAAAAACAACGTAATTGCTGACTCTCTTTCTCGATTACAGTTGAAGTGATTCTGAGCAGGTGCACCACAGGCAGATGAAAAGGCAACTCAAGTTCCACCAATTTCCCTTGTCATGTGGAACTTAGCAAGTAAATGACAATTTGTGGCAAAACGCAATAACTTCCAATACAAGACATGTATACCAGCAAGGATTTAATGCTTACAAATAATTTTTAGCTCTCTATAATGTTCAATTTGATGACAATTTTCCACCAATTTCTCAGGACATTCTGATTTATTTTGTAGCGTATTGTCAAAACAATTTATCTCTAAAATACTCCACCATTAGATTATATTTGTGTGGCATTAGATTTGCATACATAGAAAAGGGAATACCAAACCCATTTGAATCAAAACATCAGTCTATGGAAAGATTAAACCTGATTTTGAATGGCATAAGAAAAGTTCAATCAAATACTTGTATGTCCAAAATACGATTACCAATCACATATCAAATCTTAGACAGCATGTGTTTAGCTTTAAGAAAAGGTGCATTTGACAAACACACAAATGTATTATTAGAAGCAATGTATGTCACAGCTTTTTATGGGTTTTTTAGATGTGGAGAACTAACAATTCAGAATTATTTTGACCCTGAATACCACTTAACTTGTGAAGATATATTTGTAGAGAAAAGCTGCATTCAGATATTTTTAAAGCAATCAAAAACAGACCGTTTTCACAAAGGTACTACAATAGCCTTACATATGAATCAAACAAATATTTGTCCTGTTAAGTCTCTGTGCCTGTACATGCAAATTCGAAATTTTAGGAATGCTTTGCCAAAAGAGACATTTTTTGTTACAAATTGTCAATTGCCTGTAACTAGGACATACTTTATTGAATATTTGAAAAACATTCTTGAAAGAATTGGATATGATTCTAGTAAATATAATGGACATTCATTCAGAATAGGAGCTGCAACATCAGCAGCTTCAGCAAGAATGGAAGATCACTTAATAAAGACTTTAGGAAGGTTGTCGTCAGACAGTTATAGACGATATATACGAACTTCAGAGGATGTTGTTAAAGACGCTCAATGTAGTTTGGCAACTAGTACTACCCTTAACAAAATGTGAGATTATATGTGTAGAAAAACAGAAGTAACCATTGTGTAGCAATTAGTACATGTTATGAATAATTCACATAGATTCTAATATGTAACACTGATGGACTGTTCTCACTTATTATTTTCCTGTTTGTCAGTACTTTGAATATGCTAGGTAACTGTATATTCTATAGCATGTAGTACCACAAGCAAATGAACACCTCTTTGTTATATTATCTTCAATCCCATACTTGGGGCTTATGCAGCTGCTACTCACCTGCATAATTTGGCAAATTACTTCATGGTATGTTTACCATTCGATTTCTCCCAAGCATGGGATATTGTACGTTTATCATTCAGCATCATTGTTGAGTACTCCTGTTATGACAATTATCAAATACTGCATCCTGGGCAAGCATTGCTCTACTCAGGTAGGATTACTCTGCTCCTTACACAGGTGCTAGTGGACATAGCTCATATAGGCAAACTTGCTTTGCCTTCAACCTCCATGTATCAGGTGCTAGTGAGCATGTTTCATGAGAGTGGACATAGCTCATATAGGCAAGCATTCCTTGCCCTCAGCCTTCATGTATCAGGTGCTAGTGAGCATGTTTCATATAGGCAAGTTTCACTTGCTCTCAGCCTGTTGTTTATCCAATTCCACAGCTTGTTTAAGTCAAAAATTGAGTGTCTTCTTTTTCGATGCTGCTGAAAAATACTTACATCTATGTGTATTAGATTAGCTAGCTGCATGAGCCCTCTAGGAAAGTTCTAGTATTAGATTTAATAAAAGATAAAAACTCAGTAACTTCCTTATTGTTTTTGGGTAATAAAAAAAACTTATATCATCTAGTAAATAATGTCTCAAAGTATATTTACAACATGCTGACAGCTGTGTCCATCTTGTGAAGTTGGAAGTTGCAACAGTTTACTAAAAATAAAACCCCAACTGTATCAAAGTTTAAAATATGGAAGAGTTTTCACAATCACAATTGTAATCCTTTTTTACCATTTATTTGTAACAATTAATTGAAATAGTATACCTAAATATTTTTTCATTGTCTTGTGATATCTATTTAAATGTAAAATGCATGAAATAAATAGTTGGCAGTAAATTCCTAAAATTATTTACCAAATATACCGCTAATCATAACTATTTTGTTTTATATCCTATGGGGTATACTGAATTATACAAAGATTGGCTTCTAATAGAATTTTAATTGTCTGACAGATAAAGGGATATACACTGTGTACACAAAGGTGTTAACACCTGTTTTGGTTTAAACACATGCGGGGCATGATTAACAGATCCACGTGCCGTTACAGGAATATTAGTTTAGTGCTATACATCATTGAACAAACAAAACTGTGAAAGTCATGATGACTGTTAAATTGCAAATGTACTCTCAATTAAATTCATTTTTTACAACAATATCTCAAGCAATGATTAATTTCAATTGCTAACTGTTACATGTAATAGTCATTTGTGTATTTTAGCAAATCCCTGGACAAGAAATATAAAAATGGCAGTCATTGAAGTTAATATTGTACCATGGTAAATAATGTTGGAATAAAAGAATGTGTCCACGATGTTCTAAAATGGAAATGATTATTGTTTGATTTCGGGTATTTCCCTAATTATAGCTGTTGTATACTACCATATTTATGTGTTTAACGACAGACTCAAACTACGACGGCATTGAACAGGCAAGTTGGAGAAAATACGTTATATCACAATTCAAGGAAGTTTTATCTTCAGTGGATCTTCAGATATCCGGACGCCAGATACCAGGATGCTTCAGTTTCTGGATGATTTTTAATGGGAACGAAATTTTTTAACGTTATTTGTCTCGTTTAACCAGAATTCCGCGTTCCGTATCTGGACGGTCTTTTTTCACCACAAAATGAATTTTTACGTTATATTTTGGTTCACTTATCCGGACGATAATTTTTTAACTATGGCAAGTTTAATTGTAGGTCGATAGGTACGCACAAGAATCTCGGTTCTCTAACATGGTTTTGATATGTATTAATTAAGGAATATAATTTTATAAGTCTAGGATAATTTTTTCGTAGTCGGCAAATATATTTCTTTTACTGTTAGAATACAGTCGTAACATGGTTTTATGTATTCATAGACATAGACTTGTTTTCTTTAAAAGTTGAAATATTTCATTTCTTTAGGTTATTGTTTATTTCACCCTCAAATGGACTTCATTTCTCCCATAGTTTTATTCATTTCATCAGATACATAAGTGATCCTTTTCTGAAGAATGTTCCCTAGACTGTAAGCTATAGCAGAGACCTGTCTCTGGCTATAGCTACAATGGGCAGATTTTAACCTGTTTTAGGAAATTAATTTACATGCAGATAATTTTGAACACAGATACATAATTATCTCACCAACATGTCATTGTGCAACAAAGTCGTCAGCATTTAAATTTATTTGTCCTCTGAATGGATGAAACATTTTGAAAGGCACTCCTATCGATAAATTTTACACTAAACCAGCTATAATGCTGCTATGGACTATGCAGATCTACCTTTTTTACCCGCCATGTGTTTATCTTAAACTGGAAGTACGAGTTCGTAAATTTGAAATCTCGATCCCGACTCAAATTCAACATCGGAAAGAAAAAATTCCATTTTTCTCAATTTTATTTTTTTTCTGAAAATTCAAAAACTTGAGCGGTGGGTTTGTAAACCTAAAAATAAAAAAATGCTGGCCTAAATGTGACCAAATAAACATGTGTTTTTCCAATGACACATGTTCTTTTTTATTTATTTAAACAAGTATTGAGTAGTACTAACTTATATTAAAGTATTTAAACAATAAAACATATTGATAAAAAGCAACATTCTTTACTATTGAAAATGGTATGAAAGGCTATATAACTAAAATCAGCGCAATACAGGTACTGGATGCTTCACATATCTGGATGAATTGTCTGGGAACCAAAGTATCCGGATAAATGAGGCTCCACTGTAATATGTTTGCATAAAACACTATTAAAATGCTGTACTCATAAAATACCATTTTATTTTCTCAATATGTTAATATCACCAATTAAGTTAAAGAGGTTTACATGTTCTGATACGTAGTATCTACGTAAGAATCTCTAGAAAATCGATAAACAAGGCCTCGTCCTATCTTCCGAATTTGTCCTATATCTAAGGATTTTTTTTAAAAATTACGGCTGAAAATGAGCCTTTCAACCTATATACCCCATCGACATATACCCCAAAAATTACGGTTGTGTGACACCTATATCTTCAGGGTAACAAGAGATAATTGGATAGGGGATTAATTTAATTGACTTCATAAAGACTAGATAACAATGTACTAGACATATATACAAGCCATCAATCTGCTTAACTTTGAAACTGTAAGGCATATTATTTGTATTAATTGTTATATGCTAAAATGAAAGAAATAGAAAACTGTAGCATAAAATAGAAATGTAAATATTGTAATATAAAATTATAAAATATGTAAGACCCCTTATCTTTGGTAAGTGGCTATAAAAGGAAGATTTTGCAAAAAATGTTTCCTGTATATCCCTATGTAAAACACTGATACCCTATTGAGACCCACCCCATCCCCCTGAGGGAAAGGAGAATGATTTGAACAAAAACATTATTTGCACTACTTGGGAAATGCTTGATTTTTAATCATGGTCCTGCTATACATGAGAAAAAAGACTTTCGAACATATCTTCTTAATATGAAGATTTTTAAAGGTTTTTCCCTATACATTCATGTGTTAAATTTTGATCTACTACAGTAGTCCTGCCTTAAGCACTGGGGTCATGATTTGAACAACCTTGAATTTACACAAAAGATAAAGCTTTCACACATATTTTATCTTTTCCTAATACCTGTATTGCAGAGTTCATGAAACATGTATTTCCCAAATTTGCCAAACCACATAGTCCAGGAGCGACAGTTCCTCTTCCAGAATCTTGTTCATTGATAGAATAGCTGTTGAATGAGGTTTTGTTATGACTGCTATCTGTTTCTGTTCTGAAAGTGTAACAGACATCATGAAATTAAATTCAACAAAAAGATTCAACATTAATCAATAATAAACAAGAGACCCATGGGCCACAATGCTCAACAGATTGTTTTCCACATATTCATATGTAATCAAAGTACTGAAAGTACTGAATCTAGGTGACGTCTTCCCCAATGAAAACCATTGGAAAGCAAAAAGTGAGCAATATGACAAATGCATTTTGAAACTTATTTGATGTATAAAAAAAATGAACTAGTTACTTATTTATACAGATATGAAAATAATAACAAAAGAATCTTTGCCATATGAATGTGTAAAAAAGAAAAAGAAAAGCATAATTATGTTATATATCTTTAACATTCCAGGCTCTAGGGCCATAAAACTTAAATGAGCTCACTCTTCACTTTTCCACTAATAATTCCTTTTGTTTGTTTATTTATTTGTTTATTGTTTAACGTCCCTCTCGAGAATTTTTCACTCATATGGAGACGCCACGTACCACTTGCTGGTGGAGAGCTACAAATTTTTGACCTACACTCGGCACTTAGGGCCATTGAGCAATGAGGGATCTTTTTCGTGCCAGCACCTACTGCGACACGGGACCTCTGTTTATACGGTCTCATCCGAAGGACCCATCTCCACGTCCCACAGTGGGATTCGAACCCGCGACGTAAGGATCAACTCCTTACTTCGGACTCTAGAGCGAGCGCTTTAACCATTGCACCACGCGGGCGACTTTTGTAAAAGTGAGACTTGGATCAAAAGTGAGCTTGTCTAAGTTTTATGGCCCCCAAGCCAGGAGACAACATTTATCACTGATACAGCTAGCATTTAATACAATCAAAAAACCCTCTTAATGATTTTTTTTTGGCCAAAAGCATGCCTATTTTGACATTTTTTTCATCTAAATTGAAATATTATTTAATCATATGAAGCATTAAAGACTCAAAATACCTTCAGATCTGTAGCAGAGTAGTCAAATATGATGTTCAAATAACTAAAATTCCATGCATTCTTTCTGAGCACAAAATTTTACAAAATTTGAGAGCTCATTCTTTGTATTTCAAGACAATCATTTAAAAATGTAACTAAGCCTTTGTTCCTTAAGTATTGATTTACTACATGTATAATTTTCAAAACCAAAGCAATATGCCACAAGGCCATCTTTTAAAAAATTATTTGGTTGCCCTCTCTGACTGACTGACTAAAAATGGCCCGACTCAAAACTTTTTTTTTTACATTCCAGGACACAATATTTTTTTTCTTTATTCCTCTTATCCAGACAACAAATACAGTGGCTTCCATTTTATCGGAGAGCGGCTTAATGAATATTTCGGCTATTTCAATATAATAGAGCACAAAACCATTTCTTACATATTTATTAATAATTCAACTGATATTCTGATGAGAAAATATTGGAATTTCGTTTTATCTGATACAAAAATTTGGGCTATCATAGTGTTTTTTGATAATCAGCTCCTTGTTCACACCTCCAACTTCATATGTGAAGCCTTTGTTTACACAGTTTGACACCAATTACTTTGACTGGCATGAGTACGACAATGAGGGGATTAGTTACGGCTGGATGCACACAGGCACCTTACCTGTGTCAATAGTGGGCAGAGTAGATGGATATGTTTTGATTACAGTTGTGGTGATCAGCTTGGGTTCAATGATGCATTTGTTAATTATGACAATTATTTGCAATTTTTCGGCATGAAATTTTAATTATTGAACTGATTAGCTTGTGTATGACAATTTGCTTGGATAATGAAATAAGCCTATTCAGTCGTTTAACTTGGTCATTTGGCTTAATATTTGTTCACTCTTTTAAAGGTCATATGAAACAATGTCCAGTGCATTTTGGGTTGTATACGGAAATGAGTTCATCTGAGCTACTTTAATAAGCCTGAAATTATATTTTGAATTTTTTATGCAAGTTAGCGGCAGCAGAGTCGATCAAAATTACTCGACTACAAAAATGAACTTCAACTAGCGCGGCTTATCTCCCTTTGCTTATGACGTCAGTAAGACCCAGTCGTACATTCAGTACTAACATTTATACAACCGATCATGCGTTTTGCAGCGTAAATTTTCAGAAATATCATTATTTAGGCTAAAATGTCGCATAAATATATGATAGATAGTATTTGTCTTTTAACATCCTACTGTAAATTTGCAAGATATTAGTATGTTTTATCTGTGTAATTTATTGTTGTCCTTCGAGACTTCAATCGACAGAGAGAGAGATGATACTACAAAGAGAGGGGGTCTGTACTCGAGTAAGTGAATATATATGCTGTCAAATAATTTACAATTGAATAAATTTCTTACATAAGAATACTGATGATTTGTTTTCTGATTAAATTTTTAAGCCATGATTAGATGATGCTATCTAGGTACTCGGTAGCACGCCCATTTATAAAGCTGAATTCGATTGACCGCGCTGTGTGTGAAAGTGAAACTAAACCTGCATATAAATGATTTCATTTATTTATGGGAAATGAAATGATTCTATTGCTTTCTCCCGTTCTCAGTCACTTTTCTCTCTTTGGTTTTCCCTGTCTCGATGACCCCCCCTCTCTCTCTCCGTATTTTTTTTCCTACCAAAAAGTCTGTACATATACGCATAACACTGTAACTATATTATCGTAATAATTTTAAAAAATCAGACATTAAACGTAATTCTATCTATGTAATCCTACTTTTATGTAGGTATATATTTACAGACAGTTTATTTTAACACAGATTATTATATAGTCTGGTTTTAAAAAAAAGTTGAACTGTAAAAGTATTAATTTTGAGAATTAATTATTCAGGTTCAGTCTCGCAAATAATGGGGGCATGGATTTTTTTTAACTGATCAATTTATGCACGAAGTGTATAAGAGTATTTTCAAACTGCAATTGCTCAGCCAAACGGTAAGAAGTATCAGCACCGTAACATTACAGTGTATGTATATACATTCTCGTAATGCAGGTAAGTTTTGAGCCATTTTTTTTTTAAATCATGCTTCTTCTGACAGCAAAATTACGGTGATGTCATCATAAACCCCTACTTCTATATCGTTTTTACATTAGTCCTCATGTTTCAGATTGCAGAAAGCGTGCATTCAAATACGCCGACTTTTCATTGATCCATGTTTATCATGAACTTCAATATCCCCGTGTTAATTTGGGAAAAAAAGGGGGGATTACTCTTGAGCTACATATTTTTCCCTCTCAATATATGACACAACTTTACAGATTTTGCAAGCCCATTAAATTTTTTATTGTAAGAAGCTTATAAAGGTCAATGTTAATTAATTACGCTGTTTTTGTTGTTAATTATACAATTTTACTGGGAATGGAAAAAAAATATATCATATACGTATCAAACAGAAGTTTTAAATTGTTTCTAAAGTATTAATTTAAAATAAGTAATCATAGTTGGAGGAGAAAAATCTTAATTTCTAAGGGGTATTCATCAGGATCATCCTACGATTAAAAGCTCTCGTTTTCAGTTGCAGTGTCTAATAAACGATTAGTTCAAATAGAGTAAACTGTACTTTAGAATCAGATAGCTCATCTGAATACATATAATCACATTTATACCCACAAAAATGACTAAAATTAACTCAATAAAATAAGGTAAAATTACACTAGATCTAATGCGTTATTTACATCAGTGGGTCTTTGTGACGTCATAAAAACACAAAATCAAGAACGATAAGCGGGTAACAAATTTATCAAGTGTACACGTTTAGGCCTTAATTTTTCAGTTAAGCAAAGGCAAATTTTTTTTTACTAAACGTGATTTGACATTCTTTCATACCAGTCTTTATGTTTAAAAAGTAAAATCCTAGTGTTAAGAATCGTTTCATATGACCTTTAAGTGCAAAATTTATGGTTAAAATCACAAACGGCCCATACTATAAATATACATCTCAAAATCCATACCATCTTTCTCCACATGGCAGACAAGTATGCATGAGACTGGTTAACTCATTGACCAGAGAATTGTCACAAACAGGATAAAATACGTAACCATATTAAAGAAACAAATAAAAACAAAGAAGTTACATTTATAAAAAAAATATTATATATTTTTGTTGATTTTTAATTTACAATCTATTCAGGGAAAAATATTTTACGGTTATTAGTCAAGCATTTAGTCTACTTCCGTTTCCAAAATGGCGACCATCGAAGAAGAATGTAAACATGTGCTGAATTAAGATGGCAATAACTATCAAAGAATATATTTTATACATCAATTTATTTGAAAAATGTTATCATATTAAATTCATAAGTAAGTGAAATAATTTATTTTAGGAATTTCACTAAGTAAACTAATCAAACGAAAACGAAAGTGCAAGTTTGAAATTTGCTACGATGTATTATCAATACATGTAGCTCTATACATCTATCTTTGGACTCGGTATGGAGCAATCGGTTAATCTAATAATCAGCTATTCTGATAAAATTAGACTGACAACTTGACTATTGGATAAAACGGGAGCCACTGTATGTTGAAATTTTCTGGTAAAAAAGTTTTTCCCACCTACCTACCAACCCAATAATTTTACTCTTAGTTGGGAGAGGGCAAGCAAACATTATTTTAAAGATGACCCAATGTTTTACATTATTTACAGTGATTAACTATTATAACTAATAACTTCTTTTAGTAGAAATTATAAATTGACCAATGGTACAGAATTTCAAAATCTGGCAAAAACACCTGTTTTTTACAACTTTATATATGCTTTTTGCCTCCAAGATGCTCAAGAGCAGAGAAGATTTTCAAGGAAATAATCCACTTTCACTGCAGATTCAATATAGCCCTACCCTTATACCAAAGCCCCTAACCCAGGGGTCAAGATATTCACATTTTTGGAAGAGGCACTCTTGCTCATCATTACCATGCACTTAGTATGTTTTCTTAACAAAAACGGGCAGAGAAGAAGATTTTCAAAGAAATAATGGATTTCTAATACAACACTACTCATTCAATTAATTCAATACTACTATAT